CGCAGCTCTGAAGTCCAGGGTTCTGGCTCACAGGCAGGTGGCGGCCGAACTCGTCAATCTTGCGCGCCACATGGGGGGCGCATCCAGCCTTTGGTCACTTCGCAAGTACACCCCCCTCCACAAATGCGGGCCCAAGCTCGTGAGGTCTACCGCGCGCCTCCGTCAGGTGTCGATCTGCTCGGACATGGCGCAGTTGCAAGACGCTCTGTGGGTGGACCGAAACTTCGGCAAGGTCCAGGTCTGGTGCGGGGAGGGCCAGGTGGGGGGGGTCTCCGACCCCCTGTCCTTTGTCATCGCGGTGACGCTCCTCGGGGGGCTCAGGAGGTACCAGGGTCTTGCCACTTACTTGGCGTTCCTGGACCTCACATGGGGCTTCGACGTGGCGGGGCACGCTGGCGTGCTCCTCGCGGCCTGCTGTCGGAGGCGTTCGTGCTCGCTTGCGGCACCGCCCAGGGGCGCCGGTTTAGTGTGCCGGCGTTTAACGCGCTGTTGCGGTCCTTGAAGGATGACTTGACGGACGCCGTTCCAGGGGGCTGCGGGGCGTGTCTGCCAGAGTGGGCGCGGGGCGCGCTCGTGGAAGCCCAGCAGGTTTGCGCGGCGCGTTCGTTAGATGGCCCGCCAGCGCGGGAGGCCGACTTGCGGACGCGCATCGACGTCGAGGCCGCGGGGCGGTCGAAATTCGAGGCCGCGTCGCAATTGGCCACATTGCCGTGCCTGGCGGACCGGGCGACCGTGGTTGAGCTCGGCGGTGCGCACGAGCTGGGCCCGCTGCAGTACATTGACGACGCCGCGATGCCTTGCCCGTCCGTGGGCGCGGTCATGGCGGTTCTGGACCAGCCAGCGCGGTCCGCATCCGTGCGGCACGCCCGCTGGGAGAAGGCGGCCTTTAATTTCGGGCCAGGCAAGTCAGAGCGCATGGCAATCAGTGGGGGCCCGGCGCTCCACGCGGAGGGCCGGGGGTTCCACGAGGTGAGCTGCCACGCGCTCGTTGGGATCCAGGTGGACTCCGACCTTACGTTCGTGCCGTGCTCGCGGGAGGTGCTGGCCGAAGGCAGGGCGGCGTTCGAGGAATTCTTCCAGGCGTGCGATGAGGGGGGGTCCCACCCCCTGTCGCGGCCGCGCAGGCCCCGCTGCGCGTGGAGCCAGGTGTGCTGTACGGCGCGGCGATGTTGGTTGGAGTCGAGGGCGTGGAGACTGACCTCAACCGGCCCCAGTACCACTGGGCGCGGGTTACTCTAGGCTGCAAGAGGGGCCCTCGGCTGAAGTGGACGCTGTGCCGGGCGCAGTGCGGTTGGGAACTCCGCCTAGGGACGCGCATGTTGGAGCAGGCGTTCGCGGCGCGCGCGCGGCCGCGGGTCCTTCCGCGAGGGCGCCCGGGCACGCTCCTGCGGGAAGCGGCGCGGCGTTCGACCGCGCACACGCGGTGGCAACTGGTGGGCCAGCGGATGGCCGACCTGCCAGGGGGCCGATTGCCAGACATCTGGGAGGTGGAGGGGCTGTTGGGGGCTGTGGAGGCCGCCGCCACCTCCGCCGCCGAGCGCAAGGCAGTGCTGAGGCGGTATCGGTGGGAGGTGGTGCGGCCGGCGCTGAGGTTATATGACCAGACGGCTTTCGATTCGGCCGCGGACAGATGCATCCCGTCGCTGGGCGTGACGTTCCGCGAGCTCCAGCCGGTCATGCAGCCGCAGTCGCGGGAGGAGCTGGCCATGGAGGTTGCCCCGCTCGTGCACCGCATGTGGGCGGTGTGCCGCTTCGCAGGCCGCTGGCCCCTGCAGGTGGTTTGGGGGGGGCGACATGCCGTGGGAGTTGGATAGGTGCATGGCCTGCGGGAGCGAGCGGGTAGCCGTCTCCCATGCCTTTGCGCGTGTGAGGGCGCCCTCACGCTTTTCCGCGAGCTGGAAGCGGTTGTCGGCGCCGTGCCGCGCGGGTTGCAGCCAGAGCTGGTGAGGGCGGTGTTCGGGCCAGGCCATGGGGCCGCGCGCGTCCAGTATGTGGGGCGTGCCCTGCTGGGCTGCATGGGGCGCAAGGCGCCTCTGCCAAGTGGGGGAGGCTGACCAGTGGGCGCTGCTGCTGGGCAGGGGGCGGAGGTGGAGCAGCAGCTAGGGGGGGTCGGATGCCGCTGCGTGGTGACGGCTGCCAGGGCGATGCCTTGTCAACCGGTCATTCAGCGTCGCCGGCCACCCATTCATTTATTCTGCGGCTCTGGGTTTACGTGCTCATGCGCGCGGGCACGCACCCATATTCGTATTCGTATATGCGCTGGGGTGCTTATGGATCTACTGCTTTATTTACTTATCAGTGTATTGTTCCGTCTATTTATTACCTAACAGCGTTTGCTGATAGGTTTCTAGTAGGGTCAAAAGAGAGCATCATGACTCCTCGGGGGGGGTCTGGGCGGGTGCCGGGGAGGAGAACCGGGAACAGAACCGGGCTCATTTTAAGCGAATAGTCACACACTTCGTGCTCTTCGACCTCCCAGAACTCCATTCCCGGGCCACATTTTGAATAACCGGAGCCAACAGTCATACACTTCGTGCTCTTCGACCTCCCAGAACTCCATTCCCGGGCCACATTTTGGATGCCCGGAGCCAACTGTAGGCCACTTCGTGCTCTTCGAGTTCCCAGAACTCCATTCCTGGGCATGATTTTGAATGCCCGGAGCCAACTGTAGGCCACTTCGTGTTCTTCGAGTTCCCAGAACTCCATTCCCGGGCCACATTTTGAATGCTGAGGCAGGCTGATGCTGAGGCTGAGGCAGGATGAGGATGAGGCAGGCTGAGGCTGAGGCCGAGGCTGAAGGCAGACTGAGGCTGAGGCTGAAGCAGGCTGAGGCTGAGGCTGAGGCAGGCTGAGGCTGAGGCTGAGTCAGGCTGATGCTGAGGCAGGCTGAGGCTGAGGCTGAGGCAGGCTGAGGCTGAGGCAGGCTGAGGCTGAGGCTGAGGCAGGCTGAGGCCCAGGCTGCGACTGTGACTGCCGTTGCCGCTGCGACTGTCATCGCGAATGCGACTACGACTGCGAGAACAGCAGAATTCTACAACTAGATTCTCATCTGAATCTGAAGGGGAATGCTTCCAGATATGCTCCTACACATCGCTGTTAGGTTGCTTTGCCGGGATAATTTTTGTATTGCCGTATTTGCACATGTATGCCCGCGCGGTGCGCGGGGGGAACCTGGCCAGGGCCGGCGGGTGAGAGACCCCGGAACCAGTCCTTGCCCGGGCGCCCGACCTGAGATGCGAAACGAGAGAAACGAGAAACGAGGAGGAGAAGGAGGAGCAGGCGGAGGAGGAGCAGGAGGAGGAGGAGCAGGCGGAGGAGGAGCAGGAAGAGGAGGATGCTGCTGCTGCTGTTGATGATGATGATGAGGAGGAGGAGGATGCTGATGATGCTGATGCTGATGATGCTGCTGATGCTGCTGCTGCTGCTGCTGATGATGATGATGATGATGATGATGATGATGATGATGATGATGATGATGATGATGATGATGATGATGATGATGATGGTGATGATGATGATGATGATGATGATGATGATGATGATGATGATGATGATGATGATTATGATGATGCTGATGAGCGAGCGGCCACGGCGTTACCTTGAG